TTATAGTCATTCTACTTATAAATTTCTAAACATGATCGTGTAAAAGTGAAATGCAATTGACTGACTCCATACTTTGAATTTTAAAATTTGATCCCAGGTTAGCAACCTGGAGTACAATATTTTGTCTCAGTACTAAGTAGTAGAAATAAACTGTAGATCTTACACGATCAAGAGAGCAAATGTTGACATCTACCATGCACCGCACTGTAGGCATTGTTTGGCTACTTTGTCAGTTTTTGTAAGCCACCGTACATAAAAGATTGTCCACCGGTGCTTTCAGAACCCACAAAACCATTTTATTTTTCATTTTCACTACAACATGCAGTAAGTTACATCAGATAGTCATCATTTTATTATAATTTGTCTTTGTGTCAGGTTAAGTGTCTTCAGTCTAATTTTGACTTTCTATATTTCAATTTATAACAAGTTATCAGGATATAATCACAATGCAAATTGACAAGCACCTGCAGCCATCTCAAATCAATGGTGCAATCTCTGAGTCTAGAGTTAAGGAACAGAGACAGAAATCTGGAAATCATAGAATGTCCTTAAGTGTCAAACGACTAAATGAAATTCCCTCCTGGGGAAATAAAACTCAGAAATTTAATATGACAATATCTAATAAACACTAAGATATTTAACATGACAAAGGAAGGTCATGCAGATGATGTTCTCTACACAGGGTCTTCTAGGCACATTTTCATCATGCTTCTGAGCAGGGAATTGTTTGACAAGTCCGATCTGAGCACACCTGCCTCAAAGGCGTGATCTTCCTCTGTTCCCCAAAATCACAGTGCAACACTCAGTGGATGCCAAAGATGAGCGCCTCTGCAGCTTCGCCCCCATCCTAATTCCAAGCTCCACCTATTTCCAAATCATGAGTTCCTGAGGGCCAGAAGTTTCTAGAATGACTGAAGTCTAGCAATACAACCCACAAAAGGAATAAAGAAGGTGCATTTATTAAGAGCCTAATGGGTATAGGCCATGTGTCAGTATTGTCACAAGGATTAGCTTATATACTCAAAAAATATGGATAAAAGATGAAGGATAAAATATGAGTAACAGAGACAATATCGGTAAGTGACAGATAAGGGTGACCGAGGACATAGTAGACACTCGCAGAGATGATGCACACACCATCACACTGCAATCTGATGTGATTAGCAGTCAGAATTATTCAGCAAACTCTTTCCGAATTCATCAAACAGAATTTTCCTATGTAATTTTGTTTCCTTTATAAATTCTCTACTATTCAGAAAATAACAAGGAGCACATATAAATATCTGCTCCAACTGGCTTCTATGTTTCTCATTGTTCATGAATAAATCAGTGTTCTACTTTGAGACATTAATATAACATAAATTTGGTTAGCATGTTTCTTTGTAGGTTTTAGTGATGACCACTCTCCTTCTTGTCTGTTTTTCTTCGATCATTAAACTGTCAAACTCCAGGTGTAGCATCAAAGCAGGACTGATTTAGGCAATCACAAGAGATTGTGATACTCAAACTCTGAGACACACATCTTGTGTGAACGGCTGATAAAGGAAAATATTGATTTTCATTTGTTTTGTCTGTTGTTGACACGCAATAGTGCTCATGGTCATGATTCTCATATAATGGATTGGAAAGAGGTTGTTAAGCAATGGACTGAGAAAATATTTGTTTTATTGTGGCCTCAAATTTGATCAGTTTTTCTGAGTTTATTCCCTCGGCTAAAACAGAGAATCTCACAGCCAGACTAACTCATTCTAGATTTGAATCTGTCACTAGTGAGTACAGCCAATCTTGCTCAAGTAGGTAAATTTGTGAAGCTTTGATAAAATTGAATGCATAGTCTTTTGAAGATCGAAATCTGAACTGTGCTAACACAGCTAAGAAAATTGTACCTGTATGCTGCCAACTGGGCATGGACATAGTTTTACTCTAGCATGCCGGGCCATCTCTGAATTCTAGTCAAGAAAATTTTAGATGAAAGGATTTGAATCAGTAGGTAAAATTTTTGCCACAGTTTTCACATTTTAAAGGGTAGTGAACATTAATACTTCCTCTGTTTTTACTGACAGCTGGGAGATAAGAAGCCACAACTATATATTTTCTTCTTGATAACTCATTTATCAATCTCTATTACCAATGTATTGTTTTTATGTCTTACATAGATGTGAAATATAAACTATCCTTGTCATTTCCACTGTGACCGCCGAAATTTATGCACTATACTTCGTTTACAAGGACTTTGAAATTACTGTCAAAATACAGAGAGTCTAACAGTTGTCCCATCAAGCATCCACATTGTAGAAGGAGCAACATAAAATGCAAAGTCAGCCTGTAACATTTAGCAATTATTTCTTAATTGCCTGTAGAGTAACTGTAAAAACTCACTAATAGGTAGCGCTGAGTTCTTGGAAAGGGAAGCTTCACAGGCCTTGGTATTCTGAGCGAGCACAGTACAGCAGTAATAGTCAGCTGTAGGCTTGTCCCGCACTGCCATGTTTTGGTGCAGAAACCTGGGAATTCTGAGAATTCTAAATTCAGTCTACACATTGGGACGGGGAGGGGAGATGGCTGGGTATTGAACCTAAGGACTCACACACGTTAGCCAAGCTTTAGTGCTGAGCTACATCTCTAGTGCCTGAGATTTCTAAACCTCAGGACTAAGTACTCTCAGATATCACAAGCTTAAATTTTTCTAGGTGAAACCATATTTCACTTCCGTCCATTTTCCCTGCTGCTAGAAAATATTTAGACATTCATGACATGTGACGCATGAGCATCCACCCTGGCTACTGCTCAGGGTCTACACACATGAAGCAATCTGCATCTCTGCAAGCCCCTCACGGCCACCAGCCTGTCCCATTCTCTAGCTCATCCCCCACTGCAGGCAGGCTGAATCCCACAGATGGTGCAGTCATTTTAAACTCTTCAAATCAAGCACAGCGCACCACAATATAAAACGTCATTCTTGTATTTCTCATGCTATCCTCTCTGGACATGTCCCTCACAACTTTCTGAACTAATTCATTAATCTATGTACATCTTATAAATCATCCTGAGAAATTTTCCTGACGTTTTCCGTTTTCTCACAGGAGACTGTGAGAAAGTATAAATACCAAACCTCACAGTAAACTTCACCCTTTCCATTACTTTACTACAATCTAGTTATCCATCTGACTCATGTTTACCTTGAGTTCATGTTTGTTTGTTTGTTTGGTTTGGTTTTGAGACAGGGTGTCATATATAGCCCAGGCTGGCCTTTAATTTGCAATGATCTTCCTGCCTCAGCCTCCGGAGTACTAGGATTACAGGTATGCACCACCACACCCAGCCCTGTTTGTTTATTTCTTTATTTATTATTTTTGATACCAGGAATCAAATTCATGACCTCGCACTTGCCAGGCAGGCACTGTGCTGCTGAGCTATATCCCCAGCTATTTTTAAAAAAGAACTGTAAACCTCTTGAAGACAACATCCTTTATTATTTATTATCAGATATACGCTGAGCTGACCAGTAAGGTTAAAACTCCACGTTATTTTACATTTCATTATGCCTATAAAGATAATTGCCTTAAAAATAGGATCGGCCAATTAGTCATGTTTAACAGCTAAGTAACATTAATGTGAAAAATAAAAAAAAAATTAGTCAATTGTATGAAAGAATCTTCATTTTTTGCCAGAGCCAATTGAAGGTTTTAGTACTCACTGTCTTTCTATAATGCTGTATATATCAAGTAATCTGGAGGGAGGTATTGCAGTGTAAAATGATGTGAAAATTCAGAAGTTTGCATAAAATTTGATGCTATGAGCATTTTACCTTAGCATGGAAAAATACCAATGACATGTCTACAGAAAATAATCTTTTATCAATTACATAATACTAATAACTTTAAGATAATATTAAAAATATGTAAGTTAAATTACAAAAGCATTTGAAGAAACCCATGGGAACTGTATTTCAAGATTTTACTTGTAATTAATTTGCTTTATAACATTAAAAGTTTTAGAAAAATAGTCTTTGGATTGCGCATCTCATTTGAAAGTTTTAAAAGCAGTCTTTCTCTAATGCCACAGAGGGTACAGAATCTGGTTTTTCTCCAGCTATAATCATTGGATGCACTCAATGTGGACCTTACTCACTCCTAGTTCCTGACCTATTATGATCTGGGAAGCAAGAAATCAGCATTCTCAGTGATTCCTGAATTCCTTAGAACACACACTGAAGTTTCCAACATGGCATGTCTCCTTAACCTGAATATGTCAGCAGTAATCTTACCTCGGCTGATTCACTGACTTGCCTAGTGCTTTTGTCTAAGTTTTCGGTTTAGGACTTCTAAGTGTGAATTGTACGCCGCCTCTGTGCTTCACCACTGTCCTGTTTTGGTTGATATCTAATCCCTGCCAGTGGTCTCTTGAAATGCAAAACCGCAGTGTCCATCTCTTGGTCCTCACTATACATGAGGGTCAGTTACACTGAGAAGAGACTGGCAGGGAGGTCAATCAGTGTCTGGCCGGGCAGTACATTATCCCCGGGGTTTTCCCTTAGTGTCCTTTCTAACTAGCAGAACTCACTGCCCTCTGTTAGAGTCTGCCAAGCCCTCTGTGTTACTGTTCCCTGTGTACTGTGCTTCTCAGTTTCTTTCTTGGGTCAGTTTGATAGTAGTGTATTCAGTCCTAATAGCTGTTCTTTAGTCATTGAGTAATCCAATCCCAGCTTTGTAATCCAACCCGACTAGCCTTTCGACATATCATCTTATCTTACCATGTTTATAAATTACTTTCTGACATTTGTGTATACAAAATAAAAGCAGAGAACTAGCACAAATTTATTAGGACAATTTCAATTTCATGAATCATCCAAAAGGATGTATCCTGAATGCCTAAGGGGTCCTGGATAAAGTTATTATGAATGTCAAAAGATACTGAAACGGACAGCTCTGATAGCCACTGCTCTTCACAGTGACCTGATTGTAGGCTAAAGATCTTTCTTTTTTTGACCTACGTCTTACCTTAACTTCCACATGTGCCATCAGAACTGCAAAATTGGTCAGGTGGTTACAAGAGCAAGTAGTGTGTGTCTTGTTGGTTGTCAGGAGCCGGCAGCCTTGTGTTGACCAGTAGCCTGTCATGGTACGCTTGGAGTAGCTCCAAAATGAACAGTTGGGGTTGAAATTTTCCTCTGACTGCTAAAGTGGGAAAACAAGGAAACAAACAAATAAATACAATAAATAAAGGGATAAACCACTTCACTTACACATAAATTAAGTAGACATTCCTTTATAACAACACAGTCTGTTTCTCGGCTATAACTCCTATGGCCTTGTCTACAATTTCCATGTCAAATAGTGTTCATTAGTTCTTTTTTTAAAAAAAAAATTTAAAAAATTAACGGCGTTGGATCATTGAACAGAACTGTTTGCAGTCTCACTGTTTGAATGTCTACTTTGTATGCTTTACTTTTGTAACATGAACAACGACTTCTAAGATGACAATATGTAATCTATCAACTAGTGATTTCTTACTATTTGGTTTTTTTTGAAATTCGGTATTACTTCTACCCTTTTTTTCTGTTTTGCTTTTTTTTTCTTTAAATAAAATTCTTTAAAACAAAATTTAAAAAATAAAATTTTAACAGGCTATTTTTTCTATTTGATTAGAGGAACATGTATTGTTTTCAAATTATTAATATGTCAGTGTTTCTGAATCATGTCAGCTATTATCATTTCAAAGCAAGTAAGTTAACTGTGACAAGCAATCAACTTCTGAAATCAGCTGAAGTTCTGAAGTCACCTTTCAAAAATCTTTGGTGTAATACAACTACAGTCAATCTCTGTATTTACTCAAAAATAAATCTTTGCAAAAAGACATAACCACCTCTTCTATTAATATGAGACTCTTTCCAGTTCCAAATAATACATTGTTGGCTCTTTTCTAAAGATAAATTGTAGTGTATATGTCTAAGGTACAGTGTAATGTTACATAATATATATAGCTAATTAAAAGACTATTAGAGAAAAGTACATCCATAATCTCACCTCCATATTAATTTTTTGCTTTATTTTTCTGGCAAGAGCATTTATAATTTAGTTATTTCTGAAAACAAAATCACTACTACATTTTATACATAATGAATTGCTACATCAAACTAATAGAGTATTAAAATACAAGTAATGTATCTAATAGTCATAATGAATGTGGAGAGTGTGAACACTAAATTTAATATACCATTTTCTTACCTTGATATGTTTAACGGTAAATACCACAGGATCAGCCAAATAAACCTTATTGCTGAATTCTTTGTTAATTGCCGCTGTTATAACAGGTGAATTGACAATAACAGAATGATTTGTGGACAGAGCTTCTGTTCCCAATTTCATACTAGCATTCTCCGTGGACAAGTAAGGACCTAAGTTGTTATACAGAACAAAGGCCACTCTGATCTCTCCTAAAATTAATGCAAAGGTGAATGATTAAGTGGAAAACACTGATTCTTTTGCACATTTTGCTTTAGTTAGTTCTAACTAGACAGTAATTAAATTTGTACAATATACACATGCACATAAAATCAAGCATTTACTTGATTGGCACCAAAGCTAAAATAACTGTACATAAGTATTTAAAAATAAAGGTCTCTTTATCTTTTTCTCATTCCAGGTAGATCATAGACTAATTACAAAAACTAGAACTGTAAACACTGCAGAGCAACACACAAGATTATACTTCCATTCTTTGAAGAGGGAAAAATGACAAGTGTAGGACTCATAAGCATAAGATGGTGAATTGAATTTTATCAAAATCAAATACAGGCGCTGGATCATTTGACACAACTGCTTGCAGTCTCACTGTTTGAATGTCTATTTTGTATGCTTTGATCCTGTGACTTGAGCAACTATTTCAAAGATGACAATGTGTAATCTATCAACTAGTAATTTCTTACTATTTGGTTGTTTTGAATTCATCAAAATACATTAAGAACTTAAGCAAACCACAAAATAGGAAAAACACAGGATTTGTAGATATACAAATTGTTCAGACAAGTCAACAATAAAATAATAGATAATATTTTAAAATGCTAAAATGCAAACATATAATTTTAGGAAAAATGAGAAATGAAAGATCAGTGGACACCTGAAGAATAATCAGCTTCATCAATAATTAAGGAAATTAAAATTAAGACCACATTGAGATAGGGTTTTATTTATAACATCCCAAATCCCTCAAATTAAAGAATGACAACGAAATTAAAGAATATCAACAAAGCTCAGGAGCAGTCAGAATTCTTGTACACTGCAGGTGGGAGTGCAGAATGGTTCCAACAACGTATTTGGAACAATACTGTCATATCTTACAAGGAGCTATCACTCTTCTTCGATAATAACAACATATATTCAGAAAGGAAAAAAATAAAACTTGCAGAATATTTACAGTATTTGTATTCTTAATATCTCCAAACTGAACACAAGTGAAATGGGAGAATAAACAAAGTAAAATGTGTTAATACCATAGACTATACTGTGCATCAACAAACTATTATCCAATGATACTTCATGACTGAAGCTCAAAAACAGTTTGCTGAGTTATAGAATCCAAACAAAAGAAAGTGCATTCTTTGTTATTCCAGCTACATGATGTCTAAAAAGAGAACATTTTGGTCTACAGAAAGAGTCATGAGAAGAACATTTATGTATTAGAAAGAAGGAAAAATGGTAAGAGACAAGAGGGATTTTTTTAGGTAACAGGAGAGTTTGATTTTGTCTTACAGGATATTGCAGAGGAATGTATAGCTGCCTAATTCCTCAAGGTAAATACTTCAAATGTGCGTATTTAATGTATAACCTCCTTACACCATGGTTCTTCCCACATCATATATTTTAGAAAATGGTAAAGCCTACATCTATCAGTGTAAAATCACATCAGTTCATCAGGAAAGACGCTGCTCTACTGTCATGGTTAGTTACTAAAAACAAGGAAATCACACTTTGCATCTCTGAATCTTACGGTCAAATAAGAAGACAGACAAAACGTTTTTTGAAGAGGGTGTTTGTTTAACATATAAATGGTGCCCCCATGTTAGGGATTTAGAAACACAAAATGCATATGAACTTGTTTTCCAAGTTATCTCTGCAAAGATGTTCTCTGGGAACCTCAATTATATGCATCCAATCAGATGCAGTGGCCCAGACTCGAAGCAGGAAGTGGAGCAGAACTGGCACAAGGAACAGCAGCAGCAGCAGCCTAGACACTGCCCGGGACTGCGCTGTGGCTGCAAAGACACCTCACTGTAGATTCTGTGCCGTGGTGCAGGCTGTTTTCAGCCTCCTTGCTCCAACGTCTTCCAGGCCTGATGTACTTTGTGCTTTCCATCATCCAGTAAAAGGATTATGACAAGGGCTCCACAAAGGAAGGGGGATTCTGACCTAATCCACGTCTGCTCACACAGGTAGATAAAGGTGACAGATCCAAAAATATTAATTCACTGCACGCTTCCTATTTATCCTAATGGAGAGCTCTTCCCTTCTAGATTTAGTATAAAAATGCTGATTTTTGGAAAGCTAAACCTAGGCATAACCGTCTATTTTGTTCCATAGTATCAACTTTTTTCTTAATTAGCAATAACTCATACCAATTTCTACTTACTCGTGAGGGCCCTTTTGCAGTCTCACCTTGTTTAACCAGTGCATTCAGTCACTTATAATTGTTTCAGATCCCTCACTCCAAATTGTATACTTAAATGTGACTTAAAAAGAAATTAACAACCTATACAATAATGTAGTGGAGAATAAAAGGGACGAGTCCACATTACTATGATGAAATCAGACATATGTCAGTCCTCGTTAGCTTTGTGTCTGAAAGTGCACACATGCACCCAGCACATCCTCAGTGAATGCACTCATGTGCCAGGCACTGTATAAAGCACTAGAATTGCATCAGTAACAAGAACCGACAAGGTCCTGCTCTCATTACGAATACATACTGGCGTCAGCATGGCTAATGGGCGAGCGTGCCTGGGAAAGAGTGGTCTATGTTAAAGAGATAAAGACTTTCCCTGAAGAGCTAAGATTCACTTTAAGAAGTGAATGGAGAAGCCACTGTTCAAAGAAATATAGAAATTGCATTCTGAGAAGAAAGAAAAGAAAATATAACAATAAAAATGTTGCTATAGGAATGTGCATAGCACGGGCCAGGAGCACAGTGAAGGCTGTTTGCTCGGATCACAGAGAACATGCAAAAGATAAAAGCTGAGGCGGACGAGGCAGCAAGAGCAGACCAGGGGCAGGGACGGGACTGCGGAAGGACGGACGGATTCATCTGAGCTTAACCAGGGCTGAGCTGGGCTCTTGAAGGATCCTCCATCAACAGGAAGTGCTCTCAGAGGGCAAAAGCAACCACAGAAGCGGAGAAAGCCATTAGGAAGCTACTTCAGGAACGTGATTTTGCCTTATCTAACCTTATTGCTGCCTGAAACATTATTTTAGTCCAGTTAACAAAATAGTGATTTATGATGTCAGTCTTCTAAAAATTCTACCACTTACAAAGCATTTTACTCTGATGACAAAAGTATAAATTTTCTTCATATTTAACAGCATCTTCTTAATTAAAAAACTGCACACACAGCACTATAAAACGTATGTCATGAGTTGGGTGCTTCAAGCTAAGGTCATCTCAACATCTAACGGCTCGCTGCTGCCTTAGAAAATATGTTTTAAACTTTTAAGATTTGTGAAGTTTAGGACACATTTTTTCTATGAAATAACTTACATATTGAATTTTAAGGGTTTTTTTTTTTTTCTCAGTCTAATGATAAGTTGAGCTACCCACATACACCAATTCCAAATTTTCAGTGTGCTTTGGAGAGGAAAAATAGGGAAATATTCTCAAGAAACCGTTGAAATGAAAAAAAGTAGTTTAAACATTACATGTAAAATTTCACTTAAAATTTGTATAAGATAAAACTGCAAACTCAGTGAGTTACTCTTTTCAAGGAAAAGAATCGGATCATCTGGGTTTTGGTTTTCATCATTTCCTGCATATTGCAGTTTCTGCAAACTGAAAAGTAATGAAGTCGTTTCCAAATCTGATACAGAATTTTATGAAATAAACATCACCGGAGATACAAGGAGGAAGTAGAGAAAGAGAATGTTATAAAGATGAGGAAAAAAAGGAGCTTTTACATGGTGGATCTAAAATTTCAAGGCTAAAAATCAATAAACCTTTCTTTCTTGTACTTATCGGCCATTTGTACTTCTGAGAAGTGGTTTTCAGTGCAGTTGCCCCCCTTTTTTTTTCAATTGAGTCTTTTTAGGGAGGGGTCTCAGTTTTTTGAGTTTTGTATGTAGTCTTTATTTTACTCCTCTGTTCAAGAAATAGCTGGCAAACCTATTTTCTTGTTTTGTAGGCTGCATCCTTACTAAGCTGATTGTTTTCTCTGTTAGGCAAAAGTTTAGTAATTTGCTATAATCCCATTTTTTATTTCTTATATCATTGGAGTTCTGTTCACAATGTTGGTGACTATGCCCGTGTCCTCCAGAGTTGTTGTATATGCTGGGTAACTACTTTGAAGATAATGATAATTTCTATTCTCTTATTAACGCATTATGAAACTTTGTATTATCTTTTCATGAAATAAAAAGAATCAGTGAACCCATATAAGTTCTATATCATCAGGCAAATAATAAAATAAGACAGATTAAAATAAAATAAACTTACCATTTCGACCATTTTGTTTTAAAGTATTTGCAGAAAGCTGGATAGTGCTTCCATGGGCCATGTTTTCTGGAAATTTTAAGTCTTCTAAGTTTCCTTCTGTGCTCAGTCTTGCAACTTCTAATTCTGTTAAGAACAGAAAGGTATCAGTGCTCACTGTGAAATATGCCGAAGCTATGATAGTTTCCTAAATCACTAAAATATGCCTGAGATCAAAACACTGGGGTTCTCATATTATTTGTCATGCTAACGCAGTTCAGTTTTTAAGAAAGTATGTTTTTACTATTTTAATATTTTCAACATAAAGCAAAAAATTATAAATCATGTAAATAATGCAAATGCATTAATAATGAAGTCAAGCATTTAAAAATAAAACTCACATTTTTGTACCATTGACACTTTAGGTTATTCAAAATATTTTTATGAGTTGAGTAAAATCCTTTTGTAATTAGAGTTGTGCTATCATGTCAATATTGATCTATCATTAAACAGAATAAAATGTGAAATGATTTTATCAAATCTCCTAAAATAAAATTGTCAACTGCATCCTACGCCATAATAACATGAATTTATACTTTTTAAGAGCCAAGTATCAAAAGTATCCTTGTTTTATCTTCACTCAAATGACCTAATTGTTTACACTATATAATTGAAACATAGATCTGAAATGACCAATAAGCTCTTTATTAGGAGGATAAAATACTCAGTAGTACAAATGATACATACATGAATAAAAACTCTAAAAGTAAACAGACCTCAGGTAAGTGATCTCAGGGTCATACATCCAAAATTGTAATGTCCTAACAAGTTTAATATTATATGCGCTTTTGACCTCGATAGACTGAAAGGTGATGCCTCCCTAATTTAAGGAAAAAGAATAAGTTATCTCCATTGAAATAAAGCATGACTGTTATCTGGTGTGCCTTTCTTTTCTGTTATCTTTTCCTTTTTCTGCCATGCAAGGGTCTGTAGACCGTCTGAGTAACAAGGGCAACTTACGGATATTATCTGTGTTCTCCCTGACGATGTCAGTCTTCAGAAGGTTGTCAGCCAGCACGAAAGCACTCTCTTCCACAGTGTCAAGTAACATGGTGGCTGCCCGGAGCTGATCACTAGTGGTCAGGTCTCTCCACGCATTCAGAGCTTGTGGCTGCAGCAGGTTGTTAACTGTCTCGACCATTGCCTACAAGAGGATGAACAGAATGACAGAGGTCTCTAGTGAACCACAGGGCTGTCAGAAATCCAGGCATACACATTGCCGTGTGAGCAAAGAGCAGCGGTGAGCACAAGTTTGCTACTGTCCCAGCCTCCCCTGTGGCAGGCTGCAGCGGAAGCATGCATTATTTTACCCTCGTAAAGCCCTGGCCAAGACTTTCCAAGACAATAGGAAATCCTGATTTTTCTATTTTGAGGAACAATAAATTGAGCCATGCTTGTTTCTTAGAATCAATACTGCAGGCTTCAGGAGACTATCGTCAAATAATTAAACTGTTTGGCTTGAGAGCCATAACTACTAATTTAAACCAACGGATTTGCCACACAACCCACAGAAAATGATTTTTTTTCCCTATACATCACCATATGCTGACCTCAACAGGGGATGTAATGATGACTACTTGGACAGGGCAACACAAGAGTCTGATGTCTACAGGCTGGGGAGTCACTAGGGGGACAATTTTTTCTCTTTCTTCCTTTTTTTATTCCCTAAACCAGCGGAATGGAGAAAGTATCAGAGAGTACATACTCCCAGGGATGTTGGATATGTTACACGTAGAGAGAAACCTCCACGCTATTTACTGCTAAGAAGGGGTTTAAACAGTTGGAATTCACTGCCCATGGCCTCCAGTGTTTTGGTTTTTTTATTCTTTAAAAAAGAATCAGCAGTAGGTACATCCACACACAGACACAAAACACATTTCTCATTGCTTCAGCCAAGAGAGACACCGCTCCCTACAATTCATGTATTTCCTGTGGTTTGCTTTATGCAATAGGTTATAAAGAAAAAAAAATGGTCTTGAACACCATTCAAACATCAAGAGTTGCAAAACAGAAAAATACAGCACCTGCAGTTTGAAAGTGACCATCCCTGAACCCATTCATTCTAAAATTTGACTGTAATCCAGAAATAAAGTGGTGTAAACAGCCAACATGGACACTGTTTCTAGGCAGCACATCCGTGCTTTAAAACAGGGCTCCGTTACGGGCATTTTGGCAGAGGGTCTGAAAGGGCAGGAGGCATGTCCTTCACACCGCCATGCTTTCTTCTGGCTGGATTTTCACAGTAACCAAGTAACAACCATTAAAACATTCAGCTTCATAATGAAACACCTTGGCTGCCAATTAACATCGGCTTCGAAAACTAATTTGCTTTTTGATAAAAGTTGTTGTTCTTGATATTTTCCCAGCTATTTCAAGATCTGGCCCAAAACAATATCACTGGACTTCTGAGTAAAATAGCCCAACTCGCCACTTCTATACTTCGCATCATTAAACATACACAAAAACAAACAAACAAAAAATCAGCCATGAATTTAAAGACTGGACACAAAATGCGTCTAGTTCTGTCATTTGTTCTGGATTTAAAGCAGGACCTAGTAGCTGGACAAAAGTATTTCTGATTGCAACAAAATTAATTGCTTCTTAGGAAGTTCTCTGTAGAGGTAATGCCAACAGGATATGCCAAAAAAGAAACACCCAAAGGAAACAAAGAAACAAACAGAAAAACATAGGAAAATTGTGTTATTTAATGAAGGCAAACAGAAGATGTTAATTCTTGAGTGCAAAGTATTCTTTCAAGAATCCTCTGAATTCCTCAGCCACTCTCTGACCACCCCACGTGCAACAGAAACTAAGCAGTTGCTTTGAAAAGGAGTCATATTAGCCACCCATAGTTTTAATAAATGTTAAATAATTTCACATTGATTAACTTAAATTATATATTAGAGAATATTCATTATTTCTTTTGTCCTTTGTTGCTTTTAATTACTTAAAAAATGTAAAATGGGGGGAAAAAAAGAAAAAACTCTAAAAAAATATGGCAAACCCCAACATTGTCACCCAACAAAATTTTAATTAATTGGTTCCAAAAGGAAATGGAATCAAAGAGTCTGAATAGACTAGTGCACTCTGCACCAACCACCAAAGCTTCCCAGCACACGCAAGCCCTGGGCTAAATGGGTTCCCTGGTGAACTCAACCAACCCTTAAAGGAGTATTAACACTAGTTCTTTTCAAATTCTTGCAGAACCCTAAAGAGGAGAACATACTTCCAATCACATTTTACAAGGTCCACATTACCACTCTGATCTCAAACAAAGATGTCATAAGAAAAGAATAAGTCATATCAATTATGAAAATAAATTCATAATTCCTACACCAAAGATGAGCAAAACTAAGCCAACAGCACATTAAGAAATCATATACCATAATCAAGGGCAATTTATTCCAGGAGTGCAAGGATAGTTCAATATATAAAAATCAAATAATGCTATATAATACATGAACAGAATAAAGAATGATGCTTGACTCAATAGATACAAAACCCTGTGGCAAAATAGGCACTTTTTCATGACAAGAACTGTCAACAAATTAGATTCAGAAGGAAATTTCTCTGATATAATACAAGTCATATCTGAAAAGCTATCAGAAAATATCACACCCAGCAATGCAAATGGGAAAGTTTTTCTTTTAAAATAGGGAAAAAGGTAAAAATTCCAAGTTTCTCCACCGCTTTCCAACATAGTATTTGAGGTCTTACCCAGAGCAACTGGAGAGCAAAAAAGAAATAGGGCCATTGGAAATGAAGAAGCAAAACTGCTGTTCTTTGCAGCAGACATGATCTATATGTAGGAAATTCAAAACTCTCCATTAGTAACAAAACAGATGACCTGTTGGTACTAATCAATTGACGAGGTAAAAGGTGCAATTTTTTTGTAATTAAATTTTGTAATTAAATATTTTCAAATTATATCCTCGCAAATATGATAGGCACTGTCTTTACAGAAGTGTTGAATCCAATTTCTATTTAAGATTAAATAATTACCAGGTCTGTTAAAGAATTAACGCAGAAAAAATATAACCTGGAAACCTACATCAGGATGATTTGTGATATAATTTTAAAATTATTTAGTCTGTTTACAGAAGTATTCATGATTAAGCATAACTGTGAGAATATGCTAACACAAAGTTTGAGAACATCTTCTGTAGTATTACAATCAGTTGTAGAATCTAGAACAACATACACTGAATTTGTACTAGGTTCTGACTCATATGAGCTGTGTGACAGTGCATGAGTTGCTTAACTTCTCTGTACCTTACCTGTAAGAACAGAAAAGTTATAATAAACTCAAAAGGCTGCCTGGCTTATATGTGCTCAATATGCAAGTTTATTTTTATTGCCATTTGCTATCACAGCCCAGTGGGGGAAAGAAGAGTTCAGGCAACAAGCATAACTGTTAACTGATAATTGTTAAATAGCTATGGCATTCTGAGACTTGGAAGGAATAACTCTTCTGCAATGCCTACCTCAAAACTTGACCTCTTATAATATTATATTGCTTTCATCTTTAATGAAGAGGAGAGTAATGTTTTGAAACTATGATGAGGAATAAAAGTAGAAACATGCATAGACTGATAAATGTTTCTGCTAGTAAAACCACAGTTAGGTTCACCTTAGCAGGTTTCTAATAAATACAAATTACTTAAACTTTGTAAATGTTCTCCAATGTTATCTTCTGGAAATATGATAATATTATTAATTCCTGGAACTTTTATCATTAAATTCAGACCTCAGGCAAATTCTTTTAACTAATGCCATCTTCAGCTTTTCCACAGCTGGGACTGGACACCCACAACTAGAGACAGGAGAGGTTTAATTTATCTTATGGTTTCAGAGGATTCAGTCCATGGTTGGCTGTCTCTAAGGCAAAAATATAAAAATGGTAGAAAGGTGCAGCAGAGCAAAGATGTTCAGTTTGTGATGGCAGGGAATCAGATCAAGGCAGCAGTGCAGAAAGAGGAGACAGGCATCATATGTAGTACCCAATTGAGTTTGCCACCACCAACTCGGATACACCCAGAAGTGTGCCTTTCTAACCCCCGAGGTGGCTCTGAAGACACTCACGTTGATACAACTGAGCTACACTAACACAACTAACTCTACTCATAGCATGTAACTATGTTATATTTGTTAAGGACACTTCATATACTTCATGTATAAATCAATGTATCTTTAAAGGTAGAATTTATTTACTTGGTATAAGTATTTTAGAAAACATTGGAGGAAAAGAGCTGTATATTCTTACAATAACAAAGTTTGTCATTATTCCAATAGGATGTAATTGTGAAATATTCTAAGATTCTTTAGCAGGAATCCACAGAAGTATCAATGGAAAGAAATACATCAATCATACTTATTACCTGGGTGAGCCACAAAGTTCAAGCTGTAAGATAAGCAACATTACTTGGAGAACCTAGTTTCCATTCTTTTTCCACATGAAAAATCAAGTGTTGGAAAATGCTAATAATCCCTGCATGCTGGAAAGCTGAGGCAGGAGGAAACCTAATTTGAGTCCAGCTTGGGCAACTTAGCAATGGCAATAAAAACTTGTGTCAAAAGTAAACAATAGCTGGAGTAGAACCTTGGGTACAATCCCTGGTGTGGAGAGGGAGAGGAGAGAAGAGGTGAGGAGAGGAGAGGAGAGGAGAGGAGAGGAGAGGAGAGGAGAGGGAAAGGAAGGGAAGGGAAGGGAAGGGAAGGGGAGGGGAGGGGAGGGGCGGAGGGGAGGGGAGGGGAGGGAAGAGAAGAGAGAGGAAGAGAAGGGAAGAGGGTAGGAAAAAAGGAAGGAAGGAATGACAGAAGGAAGAAAGGAAATGAAAGAGGGAGGAAGGAAGGAAAGAGAGAGGGAGATAAGTGACACAGAAGGTATGATTCATAAAAAGTTGCACATATTTGCCACCAATGCAGATTTCTGAAGATGAGTGTTTCTCGAGCTTATTCAAGTTTTAAGTGTAAGTGTCATTTGTTCCAAGACCCCTTCAGTTATCAGCTAAATTAGGGAGAATTTCCCTGTCCTTAAATTTATTGCCTTTTTTTTTTTTTTTTTTTGCTTTGTATCATGTATCATTAAAAGTATGTCATATAGGGGCTGGGGATTTAGCTCAGTGGCATAAGTGCCTGCCTTGC